TATATATATATATGTTGAGACATGTAAGCTGAGCTTATGTAGTAGTCATTTTTGTTATAAATATTTTATTTAAAAGTTCAATAAATTTCTTTTGAAACACTGCTCAAATATTTCATAAACAGTCCTTTTGGAATCACGGCTTCTGAAAGTGTCACCTGGTGAGGTCCACAAGCACACCCTCCCCACACCCAGAACAAAAAGCTATGTCACTGACCCCACCTGCTGGACTTCGGCCCCCAGGGGCTTTGAGTTTTGAAAATCCAAATGTCCTCTGGCCCAGCATCTTGTCCAAGGTGTCACTTAACCCACTACACACCGGTGCTTGTAGGGGTGGGGTGGTCCAGGCTCTACCTCCACCTGCCTTACCTGGCTGATGCTGTTTAGCATGGTCTGGAAGGCGATATGCAGCAGGTTGTCCAGTCCAGGTAGCCAGCCTCACAGAGTCTGGGGTAGCGTGCAGCCCAGCGTACGTGCTGGCGCATCAGATCCACCAGGAGCAGAAGATGGCCAAGGCCTCGGCTAGCACCTCCCCAGTCAACAGACCCATGGCCACCTCACTGCCTGCAAGTCTCCTCTACTGTGCTGAGTGGGAGCTCCCAGAGGTCGACAATGAGCACCTCGTACATACCTGGCTCCTTCAGAGCAAACCACCAGAAGTAGACCTGGTGTCCACCACACCAGAGGGTTCATCCAGTCGGCCTCAAATTTTATAAAGGGACAAGGACTAGCCTTTGCCCTCCTCCTTTAGCCAAAATACTGTTGATCACTGTCTGCATTGCTGAAGGCTGAAACGGATTAACCCGGCCGAGTGGGGGCTGGAGAAGACCAAGAGGTGGGCTCTAACAGGTCCAACTCTGGGGATCCTGCAGGCACCTGGGCTGAGAGGGACTGGAAGACCTCTTCTCACCCCTCCTTTCCCATGTGACTCCCCACATCTTAATGTAGTACAACCTGGTCCCTAGGACGTTTGCTCACCCTTCCCAACCACCATTACCCGGCAAGTCCTAGAATGGACTTCTGTTTTCACGGCTGTCACTGACATTTGTATGAAAAAATAGGCAGATTATGATCACAGAGGCTTTAGTAAGGGGAGAGAGAATGTTCTCAGTAATCCTGCCACCCTATCCACCCTAACGCACCCCACCCCACCCCCGTATCTTCACACTCTGCTCACCTAGCATGCACTCAGACTCAAACCTCACACACACACACACAGACCCACTCACTCACACATTCACACCCTTCTGAGAGCTCCAGCACACAGCAGACGCATATCAAAACAACACAACACTACGTTCACACACACACACAAACCACACAGCCCCAGCCTCAGCCCACAGTCTGCTAATTCCCAGCAATGCTTGAGGTTACCTGGACCTGCCCCTCCACTGCCTCTAAATTGCTCTCACTAGGCTGAGGCCCTTAACTCTGGCTGTAGCAAGTGTGAATCTGCTAGCAAAGGCAGCAGGATTGTTCTCAGACATCTCTAATGACCCTGACCAGACAATCGGAGGGACCTAGACCTTGCTACAACATCCTCCAGTTGCTTCCCAGGAGTCCTGTCAGCTCACTGTTTTCTGGCCTCCATCGTTTCTGAGCGAAATCAGCTGTAAGTCTTGCTCAGGATCCTTTGTTTTTGATGAGTCTTGCTACTTTCAAGATTTTTTATCTCCGACTTTGGAAAGTTAAATTATGATGTGTGTAAGTGTGCCTTTATTTGACTTTACCCTTTTTGGTGTATCTTGAG